GAACCATAGGATTATTAACTTCTTATTTTGGTTATACTTGGTTAACTAAGCCTAGTGAACAACAACCAAGTCCAATAGATGACCCTTATGAGGATGAAGCCTGATATGAGACAACACTTAATCAAATAACTTCTGGCACTTTTCAAGGGGAACATGTTTATTATGCTGATTTTAAAATCCATTATGAAACCCAAATTAGAAAATATGGTCAAAATAGTCTTTTAATGACTTTTAGGGTTTATCCTTTTGTGGCTTTTCAAAGTGAACATGACAGGGGTTTGTTAGTAGATGGATTGCTTTTCACAGATTCTTATTTTGGAAGTTTAACTGAACAACAACTTAATAGTTTAGGGCAGACCTTATTAAATGAAAAAATTAAGTTTATTGGAAACATGAAAGAGGAAGTGTTATTTTATGATACTACTCTTAAAACCTATGAGACTATTCCCTTAACCCAGGCTAAGGCTAAAAGGGCAGAACAAGTAGGCAATCGAATTTACTGAAAGGTTGAAAGTGTTAAAGTTTTAAGATTACATTCTGGGAACCCAATTATAATCCCGTCTACTCTGACTGAGGAAGAAAGAGATATCATAAATAGTTTAGAAAGGATTTTTGGAATTAGAATTACTGAGAATGAATGATTAGCAATGAGTGATGAGGAAAAACAAGGAATAATTGATTTGTAGTGTAAAATAAGGTATTATGGTGGAGGCACAAAAATGGTTAGAGGAAAATTATCCTGATAAGGAAACATGAGTAATATACCTAAACCAACAATTAGAAGGAGTTTTAGATTGTTCGGAGTATAAAGGATTAGGATATATATTTATTTCTACCTCAGTAGATAGGAGTAAGTTAGAGATAAAAAAGGGTTCTTATGAGTATGATGAAGAAATTAATGAAACCACAATAACCTCCTGTATCCCAGCCCAAACTTGATTAGACAAGAGTTATCCCAAAAATGGGACTTGTGTAAGAAAGAATGAGACTTCTTGGATTGATAACTTTGGTAAAACTAGGGAAGAAATAAAAGAGTTAAATATAGATGAAAAAGGCTTAGAAGGAGGATTAGATCTTTCTGATTTTAAGAATTTAGAGAAATTATTTTGCTCTTATAATTGCCTTACTAATCTAAATGTAAATAATTGTAAGAAATTAAAGCAAATTAATTGTTGAGATAACCAACTTACTACTCTCAATCTGAGTAATTTAGCAGAGTTAAAGGAACTTGAATGTTTTAATAATTACCTTACTCAGATAACTTATCCTACTAATCTAGAACAAATAACTTATTTAAATATAAGTGATAACAATCTAAATCCCTCTGACCTTTCTATTTTTAGTAAGTTTGTTAATTTAGAAACTTTATGAATTGGTAATTCAGATAAAAACAAAATTAACCAAAATATTTATAATCATTTTCAAGGAGGTTTAGAACCTTTAAAGGATTTGAATAAATTATGACAATTAGGTATTTCCAATACTGATATAGATAGTGGTTGAGAATATTTACCAGATAGTTTAGAATACTTTGAATATAAAACAGATCTAAGATCTAAATGTAAATTAGTCTTAGTAGAAGAACACTGAGACCAAGAACTTTGAAAAGGTATTCATAAGAGTTTTGCTCCTAAATATAAAAAAGATTGATTAGAAGCAGGATTTAGTAAAGAACAAACCAAAGAAATCTTTGAAAAAGGAAGCCAAGCAGGAGTTAGACCCCAAGATGGTGCTTTCATCAACTGATTTCTCAACTTCAAAAAACTAGACCTAAACTGAGCCTTAGAAAATGAAGAAGAGTTTAAAGAGTGAAGAGATAGTTATAAAAATTTTGGAACCTGTAAAGAATGTAATCAGCCCAATACTAGTTCAGACTGATGTCAATCTTGTAATGCTAAACATTTTCGGCAAGACTTTGGTAAATGAACCAGTGGCAACCCTCAAATAGATAACTTCATCCAAAAATGCCAACTAGAAGCCACTAGCTCTTGAAATGTCTTAGAATGAATACCTTATGAGAAGTTTACTGAAATTGAAAAAGTAAAAGAGTTAGAAACTGTTAGTTCTGAACTTCAAACTTTATATCTAAAACAAGAGAAACTAAACAAATCCAAGTTCAAACAGTTAACTAACAAAGGCAAAATAAAGAAAATAGAACAAAAAATAGTTGATTATTCATCTCAAATAGAGACATTAAATAAAGAAATAGAGAAAGAAAAAGAAGAAAGAAAAATTGAACCTATTGCCCAAGGAGGCTTTGGTAAAGTGGAAAAAGCCAAATGAAAAGGAGGTTCCATTTATAGATGAGATAATGAAAAAAAGGAGTGAGGAAGAAGTAGAGATTATGATTATAAAAATAGCAAATACAAAGACTACAAAACAGTAGCCCTAAAAACCCTCTCCAACTCCCAAGATATAAAAGAAAACTTCCTCCAAGAACTAACCCTTTATAAAATGTTTAGAAGTTCAGTTAGTCAGATGGTTCCTTGTTATGGTATATCTCGAGATAAAGAAGGTAATTATATCATGGTGATGGAATATATGAAAGAAGGAAATTTAAGAGATTATTTAAGAAAAAATTATCGGGAACTAAGATTTTATAAAGGAGTTGAAAAAAGCAAACTTCACTTCCTAAAACAAATCACCCAAGGTCTAAAAGATATTCATCGTAAGCATTTAGTTCACAGGGATTTCCATAGTGGGAATATTATTGTTAGTGGTAATAGTTGTAGTATCACCGACCTAGGATTATCTAAACCAGCAGATGAAAAAGATGATAATCAAGTTTACGGAGTAGTGCCTTATATGGCACCAGAAGTTTTACAAAACAAACCTTACACTCAAAAATCAGATATCTATTCCCTAGGCATGATTATGTATGAAACATTAACTGGTTTACCTCCTTTTGCTGAACAAGCCCACGATACCAAATTAGCCTTAAAAATCATTCGTGGAGAAAGACCCGAATTTCCTACTCAGATTAAATATCCCCAATTGCTAATAGATCTAATTACTAAATGCTGAGATAATGAACCAAATAATAGACCTAGTGCTAGGGAAGTAAGTGGAGTAGTAGGAGAATGGATTGATGAAATTTATTCAAAAAAAGACACCCAATTCTACCACCAATATAAAGAAACCGAAGAATATAATACTTGCCAAGCATTAACTAAACTTTATCGGCAATATCGAGGTCAATTCAAAGAAATAAAGCCTGATGATGAATGAGGAAAAATATGAGATGAATTATATTCTAAATTTTGCCAGAAAAATAATTATGATGAAGGAGCAGCAGCAAACGAAGAATTTAGGAGACTACTACTCTCCCTATTTCCTCAACCAGATGTAAAAGTCAATAAAGAAACAGTTTGACACAGTAAAAAGATAAATACTAAACAAATCACTCAGAGATTACAAGAGGTAGGTTCTCAACTAATAGACTTTGAAATCCCAGAAGAACCAGAACAAACCCAAGCCCAAATAGAAATCCCTCCTAAATAAAATGGGGGTATAAACATATGCTAAAAGCAAAAGTTCTTTATGACCATCAACCAACAATTATTAAATAAACTCAAACAAATAGAAGGATTAATCTTAGAACCAAGCCAATTAAGTCCTGAGGAGAAGAAAATAAAAGCAACAGACAGTCCTTTAATCAAGGCCATCAAATCAAGGTTCAAACCTGAAACAGCCGAAAAGGAAACTCAAACTGAAATATCCCTTACAGAAATTAAACAAATGGAACAGGATGGGGAGATTTAAGGTCAGCCATTAATCAGTATATCCCCTTAACCACTTATAAGAAAGAAACTGAATTAAGATTACAGGAGTTAGATAATACTAAAACCCACGAGCAAATAATACAATAAAAATAATAATAAATATGTTCAAAAATAAATTAAGTAAAATATTCCAAAAAAAATCTGAACCCATAACTGATAGTGACATCGCCACTACTTCCATTCCCCCAACCA